AGGTCATGGTAACCCTGCTGACAGAAGTTTTAACAGAGGGGTAGGGTTTGTAGCCTGGTTATAAGGAGAACCTACATCTACTAACTGGAAGCAGTCTGGTGTTCATTCTCCTGTTATTGCAAGCTCCTTCCCCCTATATTATCTTATTCTTATCTATAAGGAACCCTATGGGCAGGGGTGAGGCAAGGCTTCAGATACATGACTCTACTAGAGAATTTGGAGATGACTAACCCTTCATTAGCTAATAAAGCAAACCAAAGCATCCTTTCCTGACTCCACTTTTAGCCCAGGGCCTGCCCATGCCCTGGTAGTACCAAGTGCATCCCTAAAGAAGCACCAAACTAGGAAACAAAAGGCAATATTTATTTCTCCCTGTTGACAACTGACATCTAAATAAAGTCATCTCTGAATGTTCTCAGTGTTCCTGACGCTACTGGCTCGTGTTATGCTATATTTAATCTGCTGGCCTGGGGATCTGATAAACAAGCTTGTTAGACTTACAAATAAATTAAGAGTAAAAGACTGAGTGAAAGTCTAAGGCCTGGTAAAAAGCTCCAGTTGTGGTGTGTTGATTTGGGGCATCTATTTTAAAGACCATCAAGAAAATTTCTTTTGCTTTTGGATACTTGTCTATCTTCCAAATAGCTGACCTATTTCATTTCATCCCCTTTTCCTCTGGTATGATGGCTAGGGATGGTATGGATGTCCCAGAAGTGTAACCAAACCAATCTCTCCCCAGAGAGGCTGGCATATACAAGACAGAGCAGAATCATTCTCGTGGCCCCAGAGAACAGAACCGGAAGCAATGGGAAATTATGGGGAGGAAAATTTCTGCTCAACGTGAAGGCTTCTTAACTATCAGAGGTCTCCGCTAGTCAGACAATTTGCCTTTTGAGTGAAGTTCCATCACTGGAAATATACAAGCAGAGTCTGGATGCTCAATCATGAAGGATATTACAGAGGGTATGCTTGTTCAGGTATACATTGGACTAGATTCTTTCTAGAATCCCTTCCATCTCTGAGATGCTATGATTCTATGAGGGATTAGAGGCGAATGGGTTAGAAAATTTTTTGTAGAAACTTGATAGTGAAAGGAAGGTAAGATACAAGAAAATGGCTTTCAGGAATGGCAGGGTCAGGTTTTAAAAAAAGTTAAGAATGAGGAAATTGGGTATATTTGTAGGTGGAAGGAGCTGGTTGAAAAGGAAAAATGATTAAGAGGCAGAGAGAGAAAGCAAGACAGATTGAGAGTAAGAAGGGAGAGAGACAGAGACAGAGAGACAGAAGGAGATTGAGTGATTGATTAGAGGAACAAATTGCTTGAAGAAACAAGAGGTCAATTTGGAATAAAAGCACCAATGCTCTACAGCCAGCTGAACTAGAGTAGATTGTAAAATTTTCAGTGTAAGCATTTACGCCTTAGAAATTAGCCATTGCTACAACTAGAGCATGACTTATTATTTTGAAGTTTGCATAAAATTAACAAAAAACTTATAATGCAGATTAAACTTTAAAATGTGTCCTGCAAACATTTTTTCCAGGTTGGTGGTTAAATATTTACCAGCACTCAAGGACACAAGTGCCTAAGTTGAAGCAGCAGCTTTAACCAGAGGAAGTGCTCCCTCTTGCCTGGAGATTGGAGCCAAGGACAAGAAGGTATAGAGGAAAGGAAGTGAGAGCTCACAACAAATAGCCTCATTTTATTTTTTTCAGTAAGGTAGAACATTCAGGATGGTCCATGTGACTCAGGAAGCAGATTTGGAGCTGAAGCCAGGCGTTCCATTTTAATCACTTTTTGGCATCATGGAGAATTCACTCAGACTATTTAACATATTTTGGGGGGGAAGAGACTTGCATTTATGATGTCATTAGTATAGTGAACTCTCAATGCGGAAACTATCTCCCCTAAATGCATATTTGAAACTAGGGTATATTCTACAGTCTGAAAGTTTCCATTGATAAATTATTTGTCCATGGTCACAGATTATATGTATTAAAGACAGGGCTTGAACCCAGAGACCCCCAACTCCAAGGCCAAACTTCTATAAACTATGCTATACTGTTATGTGTGTATGTATGTATGTATGTATGTGTGTGTGTGTGTGTGTGTGTGTGTGTGTGTGTGGTTGGTTGTGCTTCTTCTCAAAGAGGACCAAAATGGCCTCACTATGCTAGAGTCAAGTTACAGTGTGTCCAACTACGGATGATCAAACTCATATGAGCTTGGAAGGCTCTACCACAACTCATGCATAAATAGTCCATGTGAACATTTGGGGTTCTATCAGTACAGACAGAAAAAGATAGTTGGCCCCTTGGACCATTATTTTAGATTCATTTGATTACATCTATTGTCTTTGTGCTGAAATTTTTTCTGCATCATTTACAGCATAGATTCTGAACTCAGACAAACCGTTACTTCTACCAGTTCATCAACAATCACTTTTAGGTGCCTGCTATATGGTAGGCACTATGCTAGATACTGAGGACACAAAGACAAATTCTCTGCCCTCAAAAAAATGTATGTTGTATTGGAGGAAGCAACAAATCCATATATAAATAAATACAAAATACATGGAAAATAAGTGCAAGGAAATGGGTGATTGGGGTGGGATATTACCAGCTGGGGACATTAGAAAAGGCCTCATGTAGGAAGTGGCCCTTGAGTTGATCTTTAAAGGAAGATAGAAATTGTAAGAGTTACAGAGGAGAAGGGATTCTAGGGATGGGGGACTGTCAGTCAATAAACATTTATTAAGCACCTACCACATACCAGGCACTGTGGGAAGAGCTAGGGATACAAAAAGAATCAGAAGACAGTCCTTGCCCTGAAGGAGCTTACATTCTAATGGCAGAGATAATAAGCAAACAAATAAATACAAGGAAGTTATATATAGGTTAAATAGGAATTAAATAAGAGAGGCAAGGCACTAGAATTAAGAGTTGTTGGAAGAGACTTACTGGAGAAGATGGGATTTTTCTTGGGACTTTCAAAAGGAGGTTGAAGAAAAGGGGACTTGACAGAACAGTATACAAAGGCATGGGAAACAGAATGTTACGAATGAGAGACAGCAAGTAGACTGGGTTGGCCGGGCCTTACTCTGTACAATAGAAAATAAATAATGTGTAATAGCCCAGAAAAGGAAGAATGGGGTGAGACTATGAAGAGCTTTAAATGCCAAAGAAGGTGTTGTTTTTTATCCTAGAGGTAATAGAGAACTACTGGAATTCTCTGAGCTCAGGCCAAACACGGTCAGGCCTACACTTCAGAAATATCCCTTTGGCAGCTTTGTAGAAGATTTAAACCAGTTCTGACCAATTACATGAAATATTCTTTTTCCTTGTTAACAAAACCCAAGCAATTATTACTGGTGAAGAAAACAATGGCTTTAGTGTATTTGGAACAGCTTAAATACCAATCTGGAGAGAACCTGCATGAATCATCCAGTAGTTGACAGAACAATGTATTTGGAGTCTGAGGACCTGGGTTCGGCTGTGACCTCTATTACTGAGTCTCTGCATGAGCTTGGGTTAGTCATCCAAACATCTCTGGGCTACAGTTTCTTCCTTTTTGCAAAATGGGTGGGTTTAACTAGATGGCCTCTAGTCCATTCTAGCTCTGAATCTATGATCTGGCTGCCCACAAGTAGTTTCAAGTCAGAGGGGACAATGAACTTCAGGACACTTCCTCAAACCAGATGGACATGGAAATGCTGCCTGATCCTATCTAGTCTAATATACGTCCCTCAGGAATCTTATTCTTAATATTATTATTATTGTCTGAGGAATCTCATTTTTATAATTTGTACAAAGGTTACATTTTCTTAAAATTTTTTATGTAGGAGCAGTATTAATATGAACACAGTCCCAAGTTAAAGTCTTCTCCATCTAGCCTATATTATACATATATGCACGTATGTATGTATTTGTGTATATATATATATATATATATATATGCTGCACGTCTATATTCAATTTTTTTCAGTGTAGAAGCATTATTAATTTGTACATACCTTCATTAATCTTCTTCATTTAACCTATATACACATATAAATATATAGATATATGCATAATTATTCTCTCTATATATGTATATATAAAACATATATATTACAGTTTTGTTTTTTGTTTGTTGTTTCATTTTTATTTTTTTAGATAAGGTGAGGACCTAGTCACCAGGGAATGAAATCGATCAAATTTTTTTAAAGTATAGTATTCATTCTGCTGGAATTACAAATATGACATTGGGAATCTTTGGAAGAAATAAACATGACATGGGGAATGGAATGTGGTTTACCACTACATAGAAAAGCTGTTTATACTCTTAACCACCAAGTATTATAGCCAAAAACACTTTTAGGGGAATAGGGGGAATCCCACATATTTCAGGAGCAAATGAATAATGTCTTCTACAGTCTTAAAATTGTTATACAAAGACCTTCCCTCTGAATAAATCATTGTTTTTCCTTCCTACCAGTAAAAATTGTTTGGATTTTGTGAACAAGGGAAAAGGATGTTTCTTGTCAGAAGTATAGGTCTACATAGCTGTCAAAGTAACATATTCCTAAAGCACAGGAATAAATGTACAGGACTACGAACCTTAAGGCATTTTATAGATACTAGCTATAATTACTATTAGTAAATTCAGAAGATTGAGAACTAGAAGGGACCTCAGAGATCATGTAGTACCAGCTACTCATTTTAGAGACTCATTTTAGAGATGAAGAAACTGAAGTCCAGAGGTTAGAGGACTTGTCCAAGGTCATAGAAACATTGAATTGCAGGACTGGGAACTTATCTAAGGTCTTCTGATTCCAAAGATTGCAGGTGCACCTGGTCAAGCCTTGAGCAGCATTTCTTGACTGAGTAATGCAACAATTTCAAAAACATCCAACCTTTAAATAAAATCAAGTTTTAAATGTCTTATAACCCCTCCCACTTAAGAATAGGATTCATGACACAGAAGGTGTTTTCTATGCTGTCATAGGAAAGCCACATCCATGTACAATTGAAATAATTTATTTACCACTAGAGCACCACAAAAACAGTCATACAATGTGATAATATACAGAGTAATCGGTCACCAAAATACAAAACAGCTGTTCTTATGTTCCATTAAAAAAAATATGCCAACCATACAATTGTATTGCTGCTTAACACACAGAAAATGCTGCCCTAACCACCCATGGTGCTGACATTTCCCCTGTTCCCTTCCCTCCACCCTATGTTCATATTTGCTAAAGGGGAATAAATGTCTAACAGAAGCCCCAAATGAAAAGGTTCTGGAGATTTAAAATAGAGCATTTAAAATATTATCAGTGCATCCATGAGGAAAGAAAACAAAACAAAACAAAACAAAACAAAACAAAACTTTGTCCTATCTGGAGAGAAAATACCTACAGAAATAAAAGCGCACTACATAGAATTAAAAAGAAAATGGAAAGAAAAAAAATAGTCAAATCTGGCATTGGGCTGCATTCAGCACACATCAAGTGCAGGTTTATCATCATGACATCCTATTCCTGTGCATTACTATTTCTCAAGCAATTTCTTCATTTTTAACCTAAATACATGGAAGTTGATAAGAGGAAACAAAAATTCACACTTCCCTTTTGACATCTGCCATTTTCATAATATCACCTCCCACATTTTATTTCAGTGTTTCTTTATCAGTCCATTGCCACTGACTAATGCTTGGGACACTTACAGATGCAGCTACAGGTGTCTTGACCAAAGGGCCTAGCCACCTATGTTAATGTGAGCCAATGCAATCCAAGCCTAAGAAAGAGATGACTCTCACTCCATAGGGCTCCATTTGTAAATAAAGAAGAATTTAGCTTCTCCTGGAGTATAAAAGAACATCTGGAACATCTATTCACTTTGGCAAAATAAACCAAACTAGCTATTTCTATACTGATGTAGGTTTTATTTTTCTTTAAAAAAAATTAAAAATAAAGGAAAAATATTTGAAATTTGTTTTCCCCTGAAAACTCAAAATCCAATTAAAACCAAAGATATTTTCTAGAGCTGTCTACCCTTTATGCAAACAATACAAAAAGTGGAATAAGTGAAAATATTGACTTAACCAAGTTAGAGACATTTATTTACCCAGCCATCAACTTCAGGCAGATCCTTAAGCCCCTTAAGGAAAACATTTCACTCTGACCATATCTATATGTCTAAAACTCTTTGTATAATCTTTTAAAAGACTTGTGGAGTGGGCTTTTTAAAATCTGAACTGCTTAGTAATTCGCAGCTGTAACCATGGAGACACAAAGTTCTGTGATTTCATTAAACCAATGTAGACAGTAACCCATCTATGACTTGGTAGATAAGTTCTAGGAAGTTGCCTCAGGCACACAGAAGTTCAAGGACATGCCTGGGGCCATATTGCTAAAATGTATTGAGGCTGGACTTGAACCCAGGTCTTTCTGATTCCAGGGCCAGAAGTTTATCCACTAGGCCATGTTGTCTTAATATCCATGGATTAAAGAAGGAAAAACAAATGAACTTGAATCTATTTCTTTTTTTTTTTTGGTAAAAGAAAAAAAGACAAGTGGAGTCAGGTAGCTTATGTCATAATGCTGAACAATATACAAAGCACATGTATAGCAAATATCATATAAACATGTATTTGTAGTGCAAGTAAAAAATATAGGGACTCTACTCATACTGGCCAGCTAGAGGGAAACACATTATTCTGGGTGATCCAAAAAAAAGAGCCCCAAATTTAAATTCAAACTTATCATAGTTGACAGTATTACAAAATACAAAAATATGGTGAAAATTTACACATTACACGTAAAGTACTTAATGATTTTTTTAATAGTTTACAATAGAGATCTACAGATATGTTTCCAATTAAGCTGGCTTTACTACCCACCTATTGTAATACTATAGGTATGGTTATAGATACCAAAAAGAAGGAAAAAATCCCATAGCATAGCTATACAGCAACACATTAAGTAAGGTCTGACGACTAGACCAATATATGTCAAAACATTTCAACATTTCATTAGTTTTACTAAACTGACATTTGAACCACTTATTGTAAAAAAAAAATCTTACAGACTTATCTTTCAGGCTAAAGATTTCCTTTATTAATGAGCTTTTTTCAGTATCTTAAACCTTACAAGAAGCTTCCTTAGGCATCTGGCATATGAAATACGTGTTTGGGTTTTTTTTTTTCCTTTTTTGTCTCAAGTCAGACTTTCTTAGTCATGTAATCACTGACTTCAGTCTTCACTCCACTATGTGGCCTTTTTTTTTTCCATTTTCCCCCCAGCTTGTCAAGAGTTCAAGTTCCCTAAGCCTTCCATCCTCAGGTTTCTGGCCATTGATTTGATCTCCTCTTCATCCACCAGTTTTTGCTTTCTGAGGGCCATGAAATGTTCATTGTATAGTTACACACAAATAAATAATGCACTGTTAACTCTACAGCTAAAAGAAATGGGAAAGGGGCCTATTGCATAGCAATACAGAGAAATCAAGTGAGGCATGGGATAGGACAGGTACATACAACAACTCCACTTGATGGGATTTTCCTGTTTTTTCCTTTCACATAGTTAACACTAAACAAATTTTTCCAGTGTTTATTTTTTTTTAAAAAAAAAAAGGTCTTGCTTCTTGTCTATCACACTATCAGAGAAGGTGAAATGTAGGATAAGGCCTTCAACTTTTTTTTTTTTTGCTTCGGATGCCAGTTTTAAAAAACAAAGAATCAAACCTCCAAAGTGTTCATACTAGTACCGCTTTTTCTTTTCTTTTCTTTTCTTTTTTTTTTTTTAACACTGATGAACTGAGGCTCTCTTTTTTTTCTTGGTACACATGTCATTATCATCGCAATCATCATCATCATCATTGTGATCATCGTCATCATTGTGATCATCATTATCTGCTTCCAGGATTTTTAGCTGCATTTGCAAGATTTGACAATCATATTGGAAAGCTGTTCAATCTTGGGTGTTTTGCCTACGTAGTAGAGGATGGTGAGAGGTTCTAAATCCTGGGATACACAGCAAGGAGACGCAGATGCTTCTGGATTTATGGTGTTGTATAAGCTGAGAACCTGTAAGGGGAAAAAGTAGTTGTGAAAAAATGAAATGGGAAGAGGAAGGGATGAAGGGGATTAGCTGACGGTGTAGAGAACTAACAAATTGCTTTACTGATAACCCAAAGAATTGATTAAAAAGTCTCATCTTAACTGAGAGTTCTAAGTTTCACAATTTTCTTCCCCTTGTCAGTCCATCTACACCCATATTAGGCTGCATCTATGTGCGAAGAGTGAACTGGCCACTTTTCACTCAACATTTTTGGTGGTCATCTCAGTAATTTGTTTCTGCAATACTGGTCAGAATGAACAAAACCAATAAATCAGTGATTGTCCCATCTCTCTTCAAGAAGCTTTCCCTCATTAAAGTTGGCCTTCTTACCATGATCCCTCTTCTTTAGTAAAACACATCAGCACTTACTGATCATGATGGTGCAAAAGCTTACCTTTGGTTCTAAGTTTCTTTATAATTGCAATTTATTTTTTTCTTCCATGTTCATACATTATGTCTTCCCATCTATATTATGAACTTCTGGAGGGCAATGACTGTGTCTAGCTTTCATAATCTATCTCCTCTTCCTAGAGTAGGGTGCTCTCTGTTACATGCCATAAGCACTAGTGTGTATGGAATGAATAAATACATCCTCTTTGTCACAGCTTTATATGACAGGATTTTAAGTCACTTTTAGATACAGAGCAAGACCTCTTACTTCAGGGTGGGAATACTACTAGAACAAGGAAGCATGGTATTATGAATGGAAACTGGATTCAGCATCCTAGGCTCTGAGTTCCAGAGTCAGCACTGTTACTACCTGTGTGACCTAGGGACAGTCTTTGAAAATCTGTGGACTTAGCTTACAAAACTAAAGGGCTGGACCAGATGACCTCTACATTCAAAATACTCTGAAGGTTTCCTGTCAAATGAATTGGGTGATCTAATTCCTAATTTCAGTTTACTCTTAAGTTCCAGAGAGAAATTTCCTTTGATTTACCCTTATTTTCAGAAATGAAATGATACCATGACTGTACATCAAGGGAAGAACAGGAAGGCCCCTTACTGCCTAGGTTTTTTTTTTCTTTTCTTTCCTATTTTTCACTTTAAAATCACATCAATTTAGACTTCCATGTTATGAGGGGGAAAGGAAAGGAAGGGAAGGGAAAGAAGACTAGAGAGCTAGCCGTGAAATCAAATGAACATCCAATTTCTACATATTTTAATACTATACTTTTAATCCCACATTATATTCACCTGGACATTCACCAAGAGAAGTCTATAGGTTACCTACTGGTATATATGGGTATTTCCAAGGCTACCATTAATGTGTTAAGTTAAACACTAACTGGCCTTTTCTTCAAAGATTCTATGTAGCTTTTCAGCCTCAGACAGAAATTCTGTTCAGCCCAGCAACACTAGCTACTTCACTAAATTTTCTCTGACTTCTTGGGGAACTGTCCAAACCACATATTTGTGACCATGACAGTTTATTCTTCCTCTCCCCTTAAAAAACAAGCACAACTCCCAATTTCCCATACTACGTATATGTAGCAAGGAGATGAACAATGTCTCTCCTTGGCAATTTAGACAAGCCTAAACTGCTGTTACTGCTGCCCTGATGGAACAGCCTAGCTGTCCAAAGAGAACCCAGAGAAAGGGAAGGGAATGTATGAGAATCTCTCTGGAGACTGAGGACTCAATTACCTTGGAGTGTCAAATCGATTTGACATAATAATTATAGCACAAATAGTAAGTGCCTGAGCAGGATTTAAATTCAAGTCTTCCTGACTCTAAGTCAGGTACTATGTCCTTGTACCACCTCAAATGTCAATCCAATGTTTCAGAATGCAGATGAAGAAGTGCAAGTCATATTTGTTCGTCTGATGTCAGATAGATATAGACACTTCAAAATTATTTCAGATATCTTCAAGAACTGATGTTGTATGCTCTTGGACATAACTAGGACAGATCACTCTGAGCACAGGGAAACTCTATAGACTAATATTTCACTTCGGGATAAATTATGGGTGTTTTCTGGCAGCAAATTCATCTTCCTATTCAGCACTGTCGGATATTGTCATAACCTCTTTTTTTTTTTTTTGGCTAGGCAATGAGGTTAAGTGATTTGCCCAGGGTCATGCAGTCAGTAAGTGTTATGTGTCTGAGGGCCAGATCTGAACTCAGGTCCTCCTGAATCTAGGGCCAGTGCTCTATCCACTGTGCCACCTAACTGCCCCCCATAACATCTCTTAAGTAAGAAGAACTACAAAAGCATTAAGTGTCAAACAATAATAATAATAGTAGCACTTAAATAACTTTTACAGTTTGCAAAGCATGTGACATGCATGATCCCTTTCAAGTTTCTTGACAACCTTGTAAGTCAGGTGATTCTCATTTCACAGACAAGGAAGTTGAGGTTCAGAGGTTAAGTGGATTCACTAAAGTCACTCAGCTAGTGACAGAAGCTGACTCTGAACTAACGCGCTCTTGTCATCTCCAAGTCTAGCCCTTATCTCTACTGTGCCATACTGTATTGGCTGATCTAGCTATCCCAGAAGTTAGCAGGTTCTTGACACAGACTCTGGGACACCCGCACAAGATGATATAAAGGAGAAAGAAAAAAGCGCAGGGCTGCAAGTTAAGAGACTTGGCACTGCCCCGATCTAACGATTCAATCTTGGACAAATCACCTAAACTCAATGAACTGCAGTTTTCTCTTCTGTAAAATGGAAAAAAAAATCTGAATTAATTGACCTTTGCCAACCAGTCTAGCTTATAATTTCTTTGCTTCTAAGGATCAAATGAGATAACATAGGCACAATGCTTTGCAAAGCTTAAAGAGCTACATAAATGTTAGCTACTATAATTATTATTCCTAGGCACAGGCAAGTATAATAGAGGATCAAGAGGCTTTCTTAAATATATACAGCAAAGATAATGCTGTAGATTAGAATCCATGGGAGATAATCTGTTTCCCCACCCTCCCTTCCCCCAAACCAACTATCTGTCCAGAGATAGTAAGCATAATGGCTAGAATACTAGACCTCTAGTTAGAAAGCCCTGAATTAAAATCTTACCTATGACATTTACAAACTGTGTGACTCTGAATGAGTTATTTAATCTCTCTGAACCTCAGTTGCCTCATCTATAAAATGGGGATAATAATACTTGCAGCACCTACCCTCACTGGTTTATTGTAATAATCTACACAGAGTGTCCCAAAAGTCTTAGTTCAGTTGTAAGCTATTAAAGCTTAAACCTATTTAAAATATAATAGTCTCAAAAGTGATAGTTCAGTTTTAAGCTTTCTTAAAACTATTTAAAATGTGAATAATAGTCTCAAATACAAAGTTTTAAGCTAGTAAGGCTTAAAAGACTATTATTGTTATTCAGGTTTAATAGCTTAAAACCGAAGACTTTTGGAACACCTGGCATAAAGTCCTTTGCAAACTTTAAAATCATAAACAAATGTCATTTGTTATTATCTTGACTTAAGTAGCTGGAAAACTGATACATCCCCACTTCATTTTGGTCTATGTGGAAATTTAGAAATGAAAACATTTAACAAATTACCATGAGGACAAGCTACCATCCAGTTTTCAAGTAACAAATCTGTTTCCTCTCATTGTTTTTGTCTGCTAACAACATGTCATTCAGTCACTCATCATTCAAAAACTATTTTGGGGGTACCTGCTATATGTAGGAGAATCTTGAGAGTCCTCACCCTCAGTGAGCTTGCAAACTGTTTGGGGAGACAAGCCCTATGCATCTTTCCAAAGGCAGAAAATGACCAAGTGAACTCATAGTGATTTCTCATTTACCAAAGTTTTCACATCTTTCTCCCCCATGTAGCAGATTCCTCCAGCATCCATCCATGAATAGTAATGTACCAAGTGCCACATTGTAATGTGTGTAAATGAATAGTAATGTACCATTGCCACACAGAAATCATTTGGAAATGCCATCAGCATGTGTATCTAAACACTATGCCAATGATTTCAAAATCAAATAGAAATGGGGGCCACTAAACCACACATGAGGCTCCCTGCAGGATGTATATTGACTTAGAAAACCACATTATAATATTAACTATGTTCTATTGTTTTATTTATTTTGTTAAATATTTCCCAATTACATGTTAATCAAGTTTGGGCACACTTGCGAATACTATAGGTCAAGAGTTTGACACCTTTGCTATGGACTTTCAATAGCTTTACAAGCAAGTATTAAAGTTAGTGAAATGCTTACTCTACTATGCTGAGTATCGGAACTCCATAGATATGGGCAGGCACCAGCACAGAAATTAGCATTGTACCCCTTGGGTTCATGAATCCATTTCCATCCAAGATCCCTCTTGAAATCAATATAAAGTGGACGCAGGCAACAGTTATCCTGTACATTCCTGTTGAGAGAAAAAGAGTAGACAGTGGCATTTGAATAAAAAAAGAACCACAGGCCTTTGGGTTTTGCTGTAATCTAGAGTAATGTTAGGGCAGTATAGTGATTTACTATGCTTTATGCTTTGAGCCCTAAATCTGACTAATCTAAACCCTGGCTAGGACGATCAAACTTTTATTCTCAATTTCCTTGTCAAATAATAGCAGAGACAAAGTTGGGAAAGACCAAATTCTCTGCAATTCTGCACAAAGGCAGTTTTGCAATTAGGTCAAGCACTTATCATGTGCCTAGTAGGCATCAGGCTCTATACTAGTCACAGGGTATATAAATACAAAGAGATGGTCTCTACTCTAAGGAAGCTTATATTCTATCAGATCCTATCATTTTAAAGAATTTTAGATGCCTTAGCACCAGAAGAGACTTCAAAGATCTTCAAGGTCAGGGGTTCTTTAACACTTCTATGTCATAGACCCCTCCCTTGGCAGTTTAGAGAGGTCTACAGACCCCTTCTCAAAATTATGCTTTTAAATGAATAAAATAAAACACATGGAATTACAAAGGACACTAATTATATTGAAATATAGTTCTCAGAATAGGTTTTCAAACTCAAGTTTATAGAGTCCAAGTTGAGAACCCCTGATTTAGTACAACCTTCTTGTCTTACAGATGAGGAAACTGAGATTGGGGGATGAAAGAACTTGTCTTGTGTTCACATATGTAATAAACAGCAATAGCATGAAGGACAAATGTCCCAGTGAAACTTTCTGGGGACAAAGAATTTTAGGACAGATGTGTCTCCTCTCCAGTGATACACACATCTATGTCTCAGCTGGTATAAGTGGCATCTTTAGTAATCACAGTGTCAAATGAATGAAATTGTTCTAAACCAAGGATCACAGTATTTATTCTGATGAGCAGGAATGAGAAATAGTTGTGAACAAATAGTAGGAACTACATATATACTGTAGATCAGGAGTGGGGAACCTGTGGCCTTCTAGATCCTTAAATCCTGAATCCAAATTTTACAGAACAAATTCTAAAACTTAAGGATCTAGAAGGCCACATGTGGCCTCAAGGCCACAGGTTCCCTACCACTTCTCTAGATATATTCTTAAAGCATACTTAGACCAGATATTCCTCTTTCTATTGGCTATGGCATGGGTCACAATAGATTCAGGTCTCATCCCTATTTCTCTGGTGCTGTTGACTAGAATGACAATCATCCTGTCTCTTCCTAGCCTGAGTTCGAAGAAACACATGATTTTTATCCTGCCCCCTCCTCTTTCCATGTTCTCTGCTCTGGCATTAATGAGGTAGCAAGAAGGACACAGTTTTGCTAAGCCCAACTACATATGTGTTGCCTTGGGTAAGTTACTTCTCTGGGTCCTAGGTCCCTCATTTGTAAAATAAGGGACTTGAATTAGATGATTCTATTTCTAAAGTCCCTTTTAGCTCTCACATTCTGTTACTAGAAACATCTAGGGCTAATCTTTAAAAAAACAGACAAGCATTTACATGTCAGGCACTGTGCTAAGTCTTTTCCAAATATTATTTAATTTTATGCTTACCACAATCCCAGGTGATACGTGCAGATGAGAAAACTGAGACATAAAGAGGCAAAATGACTTGCCCAGGATCACATAACTAATAAGTGTCTGAGTCTGCTTTGAACTCGGGTCTTCCTGACTCCAAGCCCAAGGCTCTATCCACCATCCCCCTAGCTGCCTACATAGTGGCAATAGGAAGAAAGCCTATTCCCTCTTCAACAAGGGATGAATCTATGCGAGCATTTAAAAGTAGGATTTTCTAGCTTCCACATCAGAAAGCATTGCTAGCAACCTCCTATATGCAAAGGAAAAAAGAGAATATAACATTCACTTGGAGTTACTAAGAAGAAAGTTAATAATAAGACATTATTCCCTTCATCTCTAGGCTAAGAAGTTAAGCCAGGAGTAACATTCAGTTCAACAAATGGGAAAAGCCATTCAAAAAGTAAAAAAGAAATGATTTTATTAGAATTTTTGTTTTGTTTACCTAAAACAATAGGCCGCATCTAGAGCGCGCTTCTTCCGCCGGCTGGACTGTTGCGACTCAAGTCTGTAGGAGGGTAACAACATTAGCAGGAGATGTGGGGTCTTCCCACTGTTTTTTTTCCTAGTGGACTTTATAGTTTTCAGATCACTGAAGGAGCCATCAATACCTTAATGCATTTGGGTAATAAATATTTAGCTTTTATCTTCATCAATTATAAGCAACCCTCTTTATCTCTTTGATCATTGTCACAGACAGTAGGGAGGATGATGAAATCGACAGCAGGGTGCTATGCTTGCCACCCATTGAGATGGATGCCATGCAATAGGCCTTGTCATGGACATAGTCACCAACTAGTTTTCTCAATAAGTTGTTTTTTGTTTTGTTTCCCCTAAATTAGTTTCTCTTCAAGTGGAACTTCAGTGACATGAGCAATAAGAACTGGAGGGAGAAGTTATCCTATAGTAAGTCCTTATCCCACAAATTAAGAGTAACCTCCCAAGTTTAGCTCAGTCAATATCCACCTGGGCTGGTCTCAGTCCTTTCCAGGCCAAAAGCAAGGCAGTCCACCATGCCTGGATGCCCATGCCTGTCACATTCTTCCCCAGGCTACCAAACCAGGAACATTCTCCAGCACAACACAAAGTAAGCCTTACACTGAGCAAGTTTAGTACGAGTAAAACAGAAGTCACCCTCACCTAGTGCTATTTTGGGAGATGGTGAAGAAAAGGCTTTTTCATCAACTTTATAGCATCCTTAGCACTTTCCTGATTCTCTCTAAGACTCAGAATCCTGAGCTCCAAGAAACACAATCAAGACATTGCTGGTTTAATCGTTTAATCTCTATTTGCAAGAATCATGACTAACTTGCATACTGACAGAGCTCTCAAGCCCTTCAGTAAAGGAAGGGATTTTTCCATTAGTTAGGGCCACAGAGCCCTACTGTGATCTTTCAAGAGTCATGGGAGGTTGGTCAGGGTGGTTCCTGAAGGGACAGTGACTCTTAAAGAAGCATGCCACATGATCTTGGTCTTGGATTGATGCAGTGGTAGTTTAGAACATGTCTGGGGGTTACTGAATGCAGCTCTTGCATTCAAAGCCCAATTACTGAATCTGTAGATAATCTGAACTGTTGGCTTCCCCCACTTCTTTGTGGCTTTTGGAGATTTTATTGATAATGTCCCTATCAGGAGGTGGACAGAGAGAAGAAAGGAGACTGAAACAAGTCATCTTTAAAACTTACTGTAAACTCTTGTAAATGTTGTGTGAGGAAGAACTTTGAGGCCTAAGTATGTCTATGGTTCAACCTGTGCTCTGAAGCTCACAACAGACAAGAGGATATCCAAAATTCTCTCCTTTCTGATATTCAATTTGGGATTTAAACCTGTGCCACTGTCCTAGAGCTAACAGCTAAAACAGGTTATGAGATTATGTGTGAATTTTTATCAGTGAGTGCCATCCCCTTTCTGATTATACAGATAACAGAGAGCAGGCTGTATCACTGAGAGGAATTTTCTTGTTGAACTCAAAGAAAAATAACATATAAGACGCTTTAACATTTCTCTGTACTACATTTCAGCCAGCTGTTCAACGAGGTATTAACTGAGCATCTATAGGGCATGGAGTTTGGGTAGTAGGTGTTTTCCAGTAATGCCTCCCTTTTTTCCTAAACCTCATGTGCACAGCCAGCCCCACTCTTGCCCTAGTAAGTGAAATTTATTCCTGCCCCATTTTGCATTTTCCCCTCTGTAGCATGATGTTTCCTGAACAAAATTCTAACCACCATCCCTACCTCAGAAGACAAAAAGCTACAGTAAGTTACCTGCAAATCTTGCTTCTAATTCTTCGCTTTTATTCGGGATGATGTAATTATTGGATGGTACAAAAGTGCAGCATGGGCAGTGTAAACTTATCTTAAATCCCAGGTTCCTGTCTGGAAAACATGAAGTCAGGGAAGTCATTCTTTTCCCCCCTTAACAACTCAGTCACCAAACATCTACCAAGGAAAGCAAAGGGCTGGTGCGTAACCTTTATGGTGCAGCCATTCATGCACAGCTTCGGTGACATCAAACGAGAGCCATTCCCCTTCTGCTCTTGTCTTAACAACTTTGCTATCAATGTAGCGCTGAGTTGGGGATGTTAAGTCTTTGGATTTGAGAATCTGGAAGAAAAGAAAAAGTAGCATGGAAAATAAAGAATTAGTATATATTAACCAAGACCTAACTGAAAATATTAGCTCCTCTCATGGGAACAGGATTTCAACTTAGCATCTAAATTTCAAGGAATCACAGAACTGAGGAACAAAGTATTATAGAATTAGAGTGGGAAGCTACCTCAAAGGCCATCCAGGCCATCCCTCCCCACCCTTGTTTTACAAATGAGGCCCAGGGAAGTTAAGTGACTTCCCAAATATCACACAGGTACAAGTGTTTCTGAGGAGGGATATGAACCTCGTCAGCCTTTAGAATAATCCAAACCTGAAAAGCATCCTCATTGTATCACACCCAACTAAGGGTTTTCCAGCCTCTCCCTGAAGTCATCCAATGAGGGGAAACCCACTGGCTCTCCAAGAAGCCCATTCCACTTTATGTTAGGAAGTTTATACTGACATCTAGTCTAAATTTCCCTCTGTTGCTTTTGGTTCCATATTCTGGAGCCACTCAGAACAAGCTTGATCCCATTTCTGCATGACAACCCCTCAAATTCTTGAAACCAGATGTTATATCCCCTCTATATCTTCTTTTCTTCAAGCTGAAATTATCTAGTTCCTTCAACTGTCCTCCTATGACACAGACTTGAGGTCATCACCATCCAAATTGCCCTCTGCTCAATAATCTCTGGGTTATGAAATTCCTTTTAGGTACTTGTGATTATCCACGTATTGTTACCTAGCTCTATAACATGGTCATATACACAGAACACATGAAACCAGGTTGTATTCTATGGGGAGGGGGGGGGAAAGGAATAATGAAATCAGCTGCTTGTTATGATAAAAAGTGACGTGAATTATCCAGCCAAATGTGTAATAGAAAGTGACATTAATTATTTTATTTCTGCTGACACATGCTTTATGAGGCTTCAGTCATAAAGTCAGTGCTATTAAGTTAATAGTTTTGTTGTTCCATAGATCTCAGTGCCATGTTTATTTAATTGGGGTGGAGTTGGCGGGTGGGGGGGGGGAGAAGAGGGTAGGGCCCTGGGCCCTCCCTCCCTCAGCCTCCCATCATCTTTTTTTTCTCTGAGTTTCTTTCTCTCTTTCTCCCTCTCTTTTTTCTTCTCCCTTGTTTTCTCTTGCTCTCTGAAGGTCTCTGTTATAAATCTCCTGATAAAGGAAACAGAGTTGTAACCCTCGCTCTTAACTCCACTGATACTAAATTCCTTGACATGCCACAACATTCTAGGTAAGGATAACACTGGACTTCTGGCTCCTAATAGGACTTAGTGGGATTTATAAAGACACCTCCTATCCCACAGGCTGGGAATGAGTTTGGGGCAGAAGTAGTCAGGAGCAGGGTGTAGATGAGAGCTCCCAGGTAAATCTAACTCAGTTATGCAAGACATCTTTAAGAGGTATACATTTCAAACAAGTGAAAAACAGCAGCACTGTCTCCTCAGGTTTTTGAAAGAGGATCTACCTTTTTAAATGGCTTTCTGATTCTCTGCCTTTGGGTAATAAACAGCACATATGAACAGGTTGGCCCAAAGCTTCCTGATGTTGGCTACTGACCCACCACAGCTCCTTTCTTCCAGAGTTTCACAGCATCTCTAGACCCAGGGTGGTACTACAGGACTTTGCCCTTCTTGACAGGTGGCAAGAGGCAGTGGAAAGAGCCATGGACTAACTAAGCACTGAGAATCACAGATCTCTACTAACTAGCTCTGATGGACTTTAACACTAAACAGGTTAGCAAGTCATTTCAGCACAATGTGGGAAGGATGCTGCTTTTCAATCCCACTACCTGGGTGACCATGTACATAATCCGATTTTGTGAACTCTCTAGTCTTCAGTTATGTCATGTATAAAACACAAGGGTGGGTTGGAGGAGATGATCTCTAAAGTTTCTTTAAGCTAAAATGTTATTATTTAGGACCCATTTCATGTATATAGGATTTGATCTCTCTAACTAGATCATAAGCTTCTCAAAAGTTAAAGATCATATTTCTTCTCTTTCTTTTGTATCCCACCCCCTAATTTGGCCCCTATACCTGTATAGCGCTAATGCTAGAGGAAATACTATAGACATTACTTAAAAGCAGGAGAAATAAGCAGTCCCTTGACAACACACATCTGGACTATTGGGACCCCCAGCGCCCATTATCCAGCTAGAAATAAATGTAACTTGCCAGTCTAGTATGTGCCATAATTATGAACAATGAAGAAAATATCTTTAGGAATTTCTGTTCCTGAGCTTCTAAAAACTCACCCTTAACCATCGTTGACTAATGTCTCTTCAGCAGTGATACCCAGAAACCCCACTTATGGCTCTGAATCTATTAAATCTGATGTCCCTTCTGTGTTAATTCATGGTGCTCGATATTTTTTTCTTTGAATTTTTTCTTTTAGAAAAATTTTGTTTACACCCCACCTGTGATTTCATTGAAATAGGGAACTCCCAGGAAGGAAGTATCAGTGAAGATCAGCTTCTGTTCTGCAACTTATAAGCTTAGGGTCCCAGTCACTAAAGAGGTTAGGTGACTTGCCCAGGGTCACACAGGCAGATTTTGAACCCAGGTCTTCCTGACTCAGGAAAGTTCTTTAGGCACTAACACCACATTGCTTCTCAGCATGAATATATTCTTAAAGTTGTTTTGAAAAATTGTTTGCTGGGATTGGGGAGGATGTGCATGTGCCAAGCAAGACTCAATCAATAAGCATTTATTAAATTCCTACAATGTGCCAGGCACTGTTCAAGGTGCTAGGGATATAAATGCAAAGAATAAAACAATACCTACTCACAAGGAATTGTCCTATCTCCCTCATTAGACTCTACTCAAAGGAATATAATTTTCTCTTTTTATCTTCCCATAGTGCTAAGAGGAGGGGGCAGAATGCAGCAGAATATGTTCTCTCTGTATTTATGACTTAATTAATTAATTGGCTGTTTAGTTAATTCTTAATTAATTAGTTAATTATTGTTACTGTCTACTGACTCGAGCCTCACTGTAATGATTGTTCAGTCTCAATGGTAGGAAAAAAACAACAACAATAAAGAATAAAACTCATAGATGTGGGTTCAAATGGCAGAGAGGCACAGGCACGTGGGAAACTAAGAAAATCCTAGACCTGATGGAGATAGGGGAGAATCAAAATCATTATCTCATAAAATAGACCAAAGTTCTCAAGGGAGAGCATTAAAATCTTTTTTTTTTAAGGCAATAGGGTTAAGTGAATTGCTCAGGGTCACACCTCTAGTAAGCATCTGAGACCAGAATTAAACTCAGGTCCTCTTGACTCGAGCACCTGTGCTCTATCCACTGCACCACCTAGCTATCCCATTAGAGTCCTTTCTAAGCCATAATCTATATGATACAGGTGAAGTCATGTAATCTACCAGAGACTACTGATCCCATAGATGTTTCCTTACATCACAGAAGGGGGAAGTAATCTTGAAATGTTATCTAGTCCATGCCCCTAGGGCAGACCAGCACTTACATTTAGTCCAGAAAAATTATTCCAACCCAATTCTTAATCAGGAAAGCTGACTCCTCTGCCTTTGTGGGTAGTTTAATACAATGTCCAGAAAGTTCTTGCTAAATCCCCCTCCTCCCTGCAGTTCAAGCTCTTTCCCTTTATCTGGTCCTCAGTGGAAACAGGAAATAGCTGCTCATCATCCCTCACAGAATATCCCTTCGTATTCTTGGAGGCTGTTATTAAGTCCTCCCCTTAGCCTGTTCTCTCCAGGCTAAATAAACTGAGTTTCTTAAGTCTTTACCTACAGGGCCAATTTCCTAAACCTTTAATCATACAGGTTGCCCTCCAGAATGAAAGATGATATACAAAAAAAAAAAAACAAAACCAAAAAAACCACCCTTCCTACTGCTTCATGATTCCCTTTGACTGAGAGCTGGCCTGGAACCCACCCCATCGTGGCTTAAAGCTCAGAAATCTTAACTCCAGAGGCGTAGCCTTCCTTGAACACTGTTTATCTCCCTTGCCAAATTAGATCATTTTGTGCAGATCTGACCTTTTGTGGGGGAAAGGGTGGACACACTGACCTGATGTTATCTTCTTTTTAAAATGTTAAGTAGATGTTTCTTCCACTCCAAAACTGACAGAAAGAGGGTCCAGAAGGCTTACTTTCTGATTTTGTTGAAGACTCCCTGCCCCATTCATCCACTAGGCTAATTTTAAAGTATGGATGTCCTAGGTGGACAGCAAGGACCTTACCATTTCCAAAAGCAGATTTCTTCCTAATTCTTTCATATGCATATATATATATATATATATATATATATATATATACACATACACACACATACACACATACACATATATACACACACCACACACATATACAACATATCCATGTATGTGTACATATGCATGCATGTGTTATATGTGTGTATATACGCACATGTATGTGTGTTATACGTGCGCACGTACATACACATAAATATGTACATATAAACATGTGCGTGTATACACTTATACATACTATATATATATGTATATATATATATATGTATATATGTACACACTTATACATACTATATATATGCTTGAAAAAGAATTTCCAGGCTACTTAAAACTAAAATCCAGTTGTTTCCCAACTTTGCTACCACCCACAATGATGGCAAATGTTTCATTTATTACGTTACTGATATACATTAACATCAATATGGGAAGGCATGGAACTGGATCTATGACTTCATTGATGTAAGGTGTTCTCTGGTGAGGAACTTCCCTTGCCACTGCAGATCAGCACCTTCTCTGCCACTGACAGTCTTGGGGAGCTGACTAATTAAGAGTTTAAGTGTTTTGCCTAGATTCATACACTGTGTCAGAAGCAGGCCTCAGATTCAGATCTTTTGAGGCTGGCTCTCTGCACCAACTGCCTCGGAAATACACAGATACATACATACACACTCAAAAATGTGAGAGGATCAAATGAGATAATGTATATGAACAATCTTGACGAACCATGAAATGCAAATGTAGTC